ATATTGCAAGAGAGATCCACCTAGGGGTTAAATTTGCAATTTAGGTGGAGCGGCTGGAAAGATGGAGTAAGTATAGGGGTGATTTCGCAATTTTCAAAATTGTTTCAGCCAGGATGGTGGATTTCCGAAAATTGACCCCCACTTGGGGTGCATTTCTTTTTTACAGAACAAAATTAAAAAAAAAAAAAAGGTTTAATAATATAGGGACCAAAAATCGTAAAATTTGATCGATTTGTTGATATTTAAGATTTATTTTAACATTTGAATCGACATAGATATGATTGAATTGAATCGTAAGATTTGAATCGTAAATCATAAGATTTTATGCTCGTTGTTGCGAATTTTCGTAAATGTGGCGGATATTTTGGATAGGAAAAGAGGAGCTTATTGCAAATACCACCCCTGTGTAATCTCTAATTGTCAAATACCCCCCTGTAATAAAAAAACTCACTAACTCCCCCCTGTGTTAACGTTTTCGAAGCACACTGCACCCATTTTTATTTTATGCTTTGACTAACTGTGAATAGACAAAGATACCCTTAGGGTTTTTTTACCAATTAGTAAAGTATAATTGGTAAAAATAAAATTAAAATTAAAATTAAACAAAGAATTAAATATATATTGTAATATTAAAAGTTCTTATATGCTTTTTTTAATAGTATTTTTATATGCTTTGTAATTGTTTATTACATTTTATATTAAATAACAATAATTATTAAAAAAGAAAAACAAAAAAGATAAAAGATAAAAGATAAAAGAAAAAAATAAAATATTTAAACAAATATCTTTATTAAATACAGTAAATATATGTTGATAATTAAAAAAATACAAAATAAAACGTATCTTAAATATAATAATAATTATATAAAATAAAATAAAAAGTCTTCATTTTCTTCCCCTGCCACCATCCTCGTTTTCCTCCAACCCCCACCCCCTTCCTCCATCCCCGCCTCCACACCCCCCCCCCCCCCCTCCTCCTCCCCATCCAACTCACAACTCAATTCAACCCAACACCATTACATCTTCAGATTTTCTTCCGCTTGAGGCATGCTGCGGCGGAGGTGTGCGGCTCGTGGTCGGTGAGATCGAACGGAGAAAATGGAGGCCCAGAAAATGAGTTTTCTTCATCTTCGTGCGGCGGCGGCGGCAGTGGCGGTCATCCTTGAAAGCAGAGGTTTCTTCGAAGTTTTCGGGCCACGATTGATCAAAATCCGCAGAGAATTGAAGATGGCCATGTCTGACAGGAGAGGCTTCCGGAGGAAGATGAAGCAGGATGAAGAACGAAGACGGGAAAGAGAAAAAAAAAAGAAAAAAAAGAAAAGAAGAGAGAGAGAGAAGGGGAACGTGGGGGCATTTCTGAGAATTCACATTTGAAAATGGAGCAAAAATCGCACAAACAGCGCGTGACGGACACGATTTGTTCTTAGGGGGCTAGATGCTTTGACTTTGTTTACACAGGGACGCATGGGTGAGTTTTTTTTTCATAGGGGGGTATTTGCCAATTCGAGATTTCACAGGGGTGGTATTTGCAATTACCTCAGGAAAAGAGAGATCCACTTTGGGTTCAAATTTGCAATTTGGGTGGAGCGGAAAATGGAGTAAGTATAGGGGTGATTCTGCAATCTTCACAACTAGGGCTGTAAACGAGCCGAGCTCGAGCCGAGGTCGCCTCTTTTGGCTGGCTCGAGCTCGAGCTCGAGTTTATTTTGTCGAGCTCGAGCTCGAGCTCGCCGAGCTCCTCTTTTTTTGGCTCGAGCTCGAGCTCGTGTCAATTTTGTCGAGCTCGAGCTCGAGCTCGAGCTCGAGCCCATTGTCTTTTTTTTTTTTTTTTTTAAATATTTTTTTAATTATTATTTTATTATTAAAAATTATTTAAAAAAATAAAAAATTAAAACTAAATTGTAATTATATATATTTTTAATATTTGTATTTATTTCTATAATATTTTACATTATTATACATTATTTAAATAAAAATAACATATAAAAAGTAAAAATAAAAATAATAAAATAATAATAAATCCAGCTCGCGAGCCGGCTCGCGAGCTCATGAACAACTAAAAACCGGCTCGAGCTCGGCTCGTCAGAAAGCTCGAGCTCGCGAGCTCGAGCTCGAGCTCGAAAATCGCGAGTCCGAGTTCGAGCTTTTTACGAGCCGGCTCTTCGAGCTCACGAGTCGGCTCGGCTCGTTTACACCCCTATTCACAACTATTTAAGCTAGGGAGGTGGATTTTCGAAAATTACAAATTAACCTCCACCTGGGGGGGTATTTCTGGTTTAAGGACAAAAATTAAAAAAATGTATTTAATATAGGGACCAAAACTGTAATTATCATAAAAATAATATAATAAATTAAAGTTTTCTTAAATCGTAAATCTTAAACTTTGATCGTTTTGTTGATATTTAAAATTTATTTTAACATTTGAATCGACTTAGGTATGAACGAATTGAGTCGTAAGATTAGAATTGTAAATCATAAGATTTTAAACACGGTATTGCGAATTTGCATAAATGAGTCACACGCGATTATAGCTGAGGAGTAGAAGCATACTGCGTTGGTGGCAGATATTTCGGATATTGCAAGAGAGATCCACTTTGGGGATAAATTTGCAATTGGGCTGGAGCGGCTGGGAAGATGAAGTAAGTATAGAGGTGTTACAGTTAGGGAGGTGGATTTCCAAAAATTACAAATTGACCCCCATTTGGGGTGCATTTATAGTTTAAGGACCAGAATTAAAAAAATATATAATAATATGGAGACCAAAAATTGTAAAATTTAACCGATTTGTTAATATTTAAGATTTATTTTAACATTTAAATCAACATAGATATGAATGAATTGAATCGTAAGATTTGAATCGTAAACCATACGGTTTTATGCTCGGTGTTGCAAATTTTCATAAATGTGGCGGATATTCTGGATATTGAAAGAGAGATCCACTTTGGGGTCAAATTTGCAATTTGGGTGGAGCAGTCAGGAAGATTGAGTAACTATAGGGGTGATTATGCAATTTTCAGAACTGCTTCAGCTAGGGAGGTGGATTTTCGGAAATTACCAATTGATCTCCACTTGGGGACATTTCCGGTTTTAGGACTAAAACTAAAAATGGTATATAATATATGGACCAAAATAGTAATTATAACACGTTAATTATAAATAGTATAATAAATTATTGTTTTCTTAAATCGTAAATTTGATCGTTTTGTCAATATTTAAAATTTATTTTAACATTTGAATTGACTTAGGTATGAATAATTGAATCGTAAATCATAAGATTTTAAACTCAGTATTGCGAATTTTCGTAAATGAGTCATGCGCAATTATAGTTGAGTCGAAGCATACTGCGTTGGTGACTGATATTTCGAATATTACAAGAGAGATCTACTTTGGTGTTAAATTTGCTATTTGGGTGGAATGGATGGGAAGATGGAGTAAGTATATCGGCAATTCTGCAATTTTCAAAACTGTTTCAGTGGATTACCAGAAATTACAAATTGACCCCCACTTGGGGTGCATTTCTTGTTTAAGGATCAAATCTGTAATTATTCAAATTGTTTTTCGAAAACAGTACAAACCTAAAAACAAAACTTAAACGTACGCCACGAACATGATAGACGATTCAAAAAATTATGCGACATACAATCAAATTTTTGGTTTTCAATTTTACCAAGAGGTATGGAAATACGAGAAAGATCGGATTACAAGTGTCGACATACATAAAGCTGTGAATACCTTCAAGTGCTTGAAATATTTGAACGTGTGATTCCTCACCCGATTTTGTTGCATTCAAAAGTTCTGAAAATGCAATTATACGATCCAGGTTGCTTAAATTAAAGACCTAATAGCCCCAACTACGAAAACAAATATTCATAGAAGAGAGGGAGGGCTTTTTGCGATCGAGCAGCGATTTCATCCGCTTTCCTCAACAAAAGAAACAATCATAGAAGGAAATAGGGAAGGCCTTTTGAGATCGAGCAGCGATTCATCCACTTCCCTAAAGCACCAATATGCGCAGAGAAAATTGGAAAATATGAGAACACAAATCGAAAACCGCCGAAATGTATGCCTCGTGTGTCCAGTCGACGGAGGCCGGGAAATAAGGAGATGGTGGAGAGAGGGAGCGAAAATTTTGAAGGATAATGTACAAGAAGTAAATCGTAAGGAAAAAATACAAATGAAGTCCAACGTCAAACGAAGTCGTCGGAAGCGCAAAGCTACTCGTCAGAGTGGCGTCGTCTACAGATGTGGACGAACTCAACTCCAGCTGAGAATTCACTCGGCCAAATAAAATCAGCTATAAGAAGTAAACTTCACTGGAAGACATCAATATAATTCTTGAACAAGCGGCAAACCTGTATGCGAACACAGAGAGCAACAGCAAATCGAAGCCGAAACACCAAAAAAGGGCTAACCTGTAATTGAACATAGAAAACACGAAGAAAACGAAAACAAAGGAAACAATAATTGCGAATGAAGAAAGTAATAAAATTAGATTGGGTGAACACAAAAAAGAGAAAATTACAGGAAAATAGAAGAGAGTCACCTGCACCACGACTCAACCTTTGGAAGCCATAAGCAAAGAATCCCTTGCATAAGAGGCATCGTGCTGTTTCATCTCATATATCTATGTGCAAGGGAACTAAAACTTAAACCCTAAATAGGTTTTATAAAGGTGTTGAAATCAAACAAATCCAAATGCTAGAAGAACACATTAACCAATTACATCGGTGTATATTCTGCAGATCATTTCAATATTATCATACCCTACTCACCATACCAGAACATTAATCATAAAGAAGTAAAACAAACTTTCACCTTTCCCCTCTTCTACCAGCAAATTTACTTAATTTTTATTTCTCAAACGACTAAATGGCTATGTTCTCCCTTTCCTTCAGTTCTTCAAACTATCCAACTTGCGTGAAAAAAAAAATATATATATATATATATATAGGCAGAAAAAATCCCCAAAATAAATGGAAAATGAAAAATTACCTCGTACCAAGACATATACAAATAAAACGCAAAACACACAGACGATTGAATCTGCTGTTCAGGCCTCACCTGACCGATCGCAAACCTTAAACAAAACGAATTTGAGCAAAAAGGTAAAGGCTGGTTTAAAAACATATCTAAATATATTTTTGTTGAAAAAAAGAGAGTGCTTAAGTTGAAACCAATGAATGAATTTGAGTAGAAGGAGACGATAACAGTGAAAGCTAGGTTTTCTGTAATAGATAACTTATTGAATCCAAAGGGGGGAAAAAACGAAATTGGATTAAAGATAAGGAATAAAAGAAAAGGGAAAAGAAGGAGCAAGAACGTCGATCAAAGACCTCTCGAAAGAAAAATGAAGAGAAAAGACAGGAATTACGCAATTGGAGGAGACAAATATACACAGATGACGATGACATAGCACGAAATTGTTAAATTGGACAAACCTACTTCGAATTCCAAGTAAATAATGTCTCCAAGTTTGTTGATACCTTCAAATCCATGTTGACCTGTACATTAAGAAAATCCTCGTTAAAGAAATAAAATTTCCGAATATTATTTTATAATTGAAAAAAAGAATCCCAAATCTTCAATATCTGTTCCAATCTGATGAAACATATAACACGAAGAATTAATACAACATCCAATAACGAAGACGGGGTTTTTTTTTTTAATAATTATTATTAATGCGCGGACAATGACCTCACCTTCCCAATCTTTTCAGGCTCACCGAAGCAATCTAAGTAGTCATCCTGAACAGATATGTCAAAAGTATAAAAATGATGAAGTTTGTTAAAAACAAGTTAGTTGCGCAGACATCTCTCGTGCATGCAAAAACTAACACATGTACATACATTCAAGTAACCACATAAAAATTCGAAAACAGTTGAAAGATTCAAACAAGTCGCACAGAAAATACGAAAAATGTCCTGCAAGAAAACTGTGAAAGAAAGATAAATCGTGATCATCTTGATATGTAAGTAACTTTATTAATGGCTTTCACAGGTTTGGTTAACTAATGAAAACCAGAGATTGCATAACCTATTTTCTTAATGATTCTCCGACACAGAAATGTGGCAGACAAACTCACCTGGACTTGAAAGTAGATTCCCATATCAATAAGCACGTTTTGCACGGTTACATGGTTGTCTAGGTCCTCACCAGCCATGAGCAATGCGCATGCAACCTATAAAAATATAAGAAATTTAAAACTGAAACACTGTTCGTCTTTTGATAAAGGTTAATTAAGCGAAATTACAACATATCCCACCGACTGGAAGGTAAAATGAGTAGTAGGCAGTCTTGTACTGAACAATGCGGCGGTGACTGCAGAAATCAAACCAGAAAATCTTAAAGACCAAAAAAAGACGAGAAGGAAAATAAGTCTAAATGTTGGAAACTGTTATAGTTGGTTCGGCATACTACAGCTGGCTTGAAATCGTTCAAAGGGCTTGGTTTATGGAAGGACCGGACTTGATAATTAAGGTAATGCTGATCTAAGTAGTTATTTTGTAACTTTATTTAGACTATCTTTTTTTTTTCAATGTCAGAAGTTTGAGTATTTTATACTCACAGTGGTAATGAGTATTTTGACAAATCCTTTTCTCCTTCAATAGTGATAATTAAATCTATCATCTGTCCTGAGGCAGTTTGAAATTCAACCTGAAAACAGGGCAAATATTGAATTCAACAATTGCAAACAAATAATTTTGTTGGATCATCATAACTGAGTAGTTAATTTACCTCATTGAACAAATCAAGCAGATCCACATAGAAGAGACTTACTGGATTGTTTCTAAGATCCAATATGTACGATTGAACACCTTGACTCTCCACCTCATGAACCGTATTCTCCATCTCCAATGCTGCGGTCTATATAACACGATCGAAATTACCTTTTTACCCTCGTTCGTCAATAATACGGCTAAATTCTATCGATTTTCATGAGTTGAAAAAAATGCTCGAGAAAATGAAATACCTGAGAAAAAGTTGCTAATTTCACACATCCCGTCTTCGATAAATGTCCGTCTGGCAATTTGTGAGGAATTATAGCACTCGATATCGGCGAAAGCTTGATTACTTCACGGGGTATATTAACCTCTCTGATATAAGAACTCCTGAAGTCATCAACCTTGATAAACATAAATGCACCAATGAAGTTCAAAATTAATTACCCAGCTTTCACAATCGACATTCACAATTATATTAAAAAAAAATTATTCGAAAAACAGTATTTATTTTTTAAATGCAAGTGAAGTGTTCTTACAGTGTGAACTTTTACTGTAACAGTTGTTCCGACATGTCCCCTGAGCTTTTGTGCAGCTGCTTCACTTGCCACTCCGTCGAGTCTTTTACCTATTATGCACCACAAAAAAAAAAAAAAAAATCATCAAACCGATTATTAGAAATTTTGATTATTATTTTTTATTAAAACTATTCATCAATAAACTATTGTTCTAGTTTATTAAGTACTAATGTAAATTACCGTTTATTTCCATTAGCTCATCGCCTTCGCGTATACCAGCTCG